AAGCTCGAAGCTAAATTTCCCCAGTTGGTTGCCAGGTATGTGGTGCCGGAAATAAGGGCAGATATGGGCGTTAGTCTGGCCGAAGCCCAGAAATCAGTTAACACATTCCGGTTTTCCCTAATGCCCCTGACCGATATTCACCTCCATTCGGCGACTAAATATGAACTAGCTGCCAACGGCGACATTAATTCGGTATACATATTCAGTATTCTGGCGATTTTCATCCTGCTCCTGGCCATTGTCAATTTCACGAACTTATCCACGGCGGGTGCCGCTGGGCGCTCGAAAGAGATTGGCATTCGGAAAGTAATGGGCTCGGTCAAAACGCAGCTGATCAGGCAGTTCCTGCTCGAGTCTACGTTACTGACATTTATTGCCCTGCTGCTGGCTGTTTTTGCCGTTGGGCTGCTGCTGCCCTCCTTCAATGAACTGGCTGGGAAGGCCATTTCGATTGGCTCCTTACTATCGGTAGAAAATGCCTGTATCCTTCTGGTATTCGGCCTTTTCGTCGGTATTCTGTCGGGTGCTTACCCGGCCTTTCTCCTGTCTTTTTCAAAAATAACGGCGGTTTTGAAAGGCGGATCGGCGGTGCAGACTAGCCGTCGCAGTAGCCTCAGGAGCGGCCTGGTGGTGTTCCAGTTTGCCGTTTCCGGCGCGTTGATCGTGGCCACCATGGTCACCTACCAGCAGTTGCATTTCATGCAGAACAAAAAAGTCGGGTTCGACAAAGATCAGGTGCTGGTCATTCAGGATTCGTATATGCTGGGGCAAAACGAGTCCGTTTTCAAACAGCAACTTCAGCGAGACAGTCGCGTCATGCAGGCCAGCCTTTCTGGCAATGTTCCCGTTGGCATGAGCAATATGGACGGAACGCAGATTTATGCAAAGCGGGAGAAAGGCGACCAGAACCGAGCCGAAATCCAGACCAATATTTACCATGTCGACGAAGAATATCTGAAAACGCTGGGCATGGAGTTGAAAGAAGGACGGTCTTTTTCCAAA